AGTCGTACTCAAAACGACACAACTTTCCTTTATTTCTACCCTTTTTCGTTAAGTACGTTCAACTCCGTTACCACCCCCCCCCCCCCCCCCCAAAAACCCAGTTTTCCTGCAATCTATGGCTGTTTTGGCGGATACCACTGTTATGACACGGAAAGATGCCTTCTGTTAGTAGACGATGTGAGAATGTTCATATAAAGTCAAGAACTTTAACATACGGTAGTGGTCAATGCTAAGAACCACTTTCAAAATTCTCACATACCAGGGTTGTTAGACTTCTCATGAACTAGATTGTATATGTTGAGTTAAATTTTCATTCCAGTACTTGCGGAAATTCAGGGTTTTGGTCAATGTAAGTTCTTACAACACGTCAAGGCTTTAAAAATGAATGTAGTGATGAAGCACATATTGGTAACATCTCACTTTTGCATGCACGAGTATCCAAGAGATCCTTACAATCTCATTCTATGTTCTCCCAGTAAATACTAGAGAACCTAACATTTTTCAGCCTGTTCATATTCTCAATGCTAAATTAAATATGGTGGGAGTATCATATAAGTTGATTATGGTAAGAATTTTCAACTGGTAGGATATACCGGTCCTACATGTAACAGATCGACGTGCTGTAACTTAAATGGAAATAAATGTCAAATGCAATGGCGCTGCTCCGATAGACTATAGTTCTTTATTAATGATTGTTTAGGTGAAAAAGTTCTCTCTATTTTGACCAGATATGCGAATCTTTAACTTCAGGTCCTTCTCATGCCATTGATATAACAAGAGAGGTAAACACCTAAACATCTCTGCTTTAAGCTAGTATCAGGTGGAATGCAGAAACTTTTATCTCAATTGTACTGTCAGGCTATCCGTGAAGGAGCTGATGCTGTAATTGCAGTGGGCGGTGATGGGACTCTTCATGAGGTGCATCCTGCTTCTTTCTTGAAATCTAAAATCTCTTCTTTCTGCTTTCACTCATCTGCACACATACATGTAGTTAGCACAAAAGAAGGAAACAGAAAGGAGTCGTGTGGCTTGTGTTTGGCTATCACTTAAATTTCTATATTTGTTTTTCCTCATTTGCCTCTGAACCTCTCATGGACTAAGCTTTTCAGTTGTCTTTTCTTCTAAGGTTCATCCAGCCTTAAGACACTTAGATAGTATTCTGGCACAGATAAGAAGGAAATTAATAACTCGCATTTCTTCTAGTAGCCTAGAACTGCTATCCAGTAAAAAACTGTCAAGTAACAAATAAACAGCTGGTGAAATATTGTTCATGTAAGTTTCTCTCACCTGCCATTATGGGTAGCTGGTGGTAGCATATCATCATTTTGGCTAGTCATAAAACTCCCTAATCAATTTTTCCTTGAAATTGTCTTAATGCTCGCTTTTCTTTGCTGCAACTTCTATGACTGCTAGCAGATATTATAGCTCAAACAGGGTTTCATGTTTTTTTCCCCTGTTGGCACATGATGTCTGTGCTCACTATTAACTTTTTGCTCAATTATTTCAGGTTGTTAATGGCTTCTTCTGCAGTGGAAAACCTGTTTGTAATCATGATATGAACTCCAGTCATTCAACTGCTCTTGGCGTAAGTCATCATTGGCTGATTGGTGTTGTTTACATCAAATTGAAAAGCTTATCTTGAGATTTTATATGTTAGTTGCATCATAAACTGCTTGGTATCAATTACCATGTGAAGATACCTAAATGGTCTCCTTTCTTAACAGATAATCCCCTTAGGTACTGGATCTGACTTTGCCAGGACGCTTGGCTGGTAACTGGAACTTCTGCTGTTTTTGTAGCTTAATTTTTTGTCATTTCCTTGCATAGCGTATCGGTATTTATAGATGGTCTTGCTTCTCATCAGGAAAAATGATCCTCATGACGCCATAGAACGCATTGCTAAAGGTACTTGGCAGAAAGCCTCCATCTCTTGCTGTAGAAACTTCTGATCTGAAACATCATTTTTTCTTCTAATAAAAAGGAGAGAAAAAGAGATGTCCTACTCAATAGTAACAGCTTCAGTATTTCTATCCTTCGCCCTTCTCCTTCCTTTTGCTGAAGAAAGTCTGATTTAGGTCTTTTGTAGGGCTGAAATCCAAAATTGATGTTGGATGCATAACTGGAGAAATTGGAGAATCCCATTATTTCATCAATGTTGCTGATATTCATCTGTAAGGACAGTTTCTGAAGATTCCCAAGTCTAAGGTTATGTTTGACATTTGGTGAGGGGAGGAGGGGAGGGGAGGGGAATCTGCAATAATGGCTCCATTCCCACTTTTCTATTTTTTGGATTGGTAATTCCTGTATTGCTGCTGATTTCATTGCTCCGGCACCCCCATAAAATTGTGATTCTTGTTAAGGTGCGAGTGAGGTTAATTCTTAGGAAGATTAGACAGGCTAGTCGTGTCCTTACATTCACCATAATCTACTCTATTCTATTTCCCTTGTATTTACCCCTTCAAGGCATTGAGTCTTCACCAAAATTAGGCATTGAATATAACGATTGGACAGGCTAGTCGTGTCCTCTACATTCTCTGGATTTACTCCAGTCTGTTCTCCTTGTATTTGCCCCTTCAAGCAATTGAGTCTTCACCAAAATTAGGCATTGCATGAAAAGGGGAACTGATTCTAGCATATAGCAAATTGTGGGAAAGGAACTAAAATTTCTGGCTTTGTCGCCTTCATTCCATTCTTAGTGAGTAGTCTTATTCTTGTGTGCCAATGCAGTTCTAGCTTCTGATCAGGAAATACATCTGATTGAACCTTGTAACTTTTAATGTTTCACAGAAGCGCAAAAGCAGGTTATTATGCCTCAAGGTACAAGAAATTTGGAAACTTATGTTATGTTATTGGTGCTTTGCAAGCTTTCTTTCGGCACCACAACCAAGATTTAAGGATCAAGGTCAGTTTGGTTTACCACTTTACCTGCTGGAGTTGGGTATTTCTCAATTATTTGCAGCAAGGGGGGTCGTTCATTTTGCAATGCTCTGCATAGTCAATATACATTAGTCAGTCTTTCTGCTTTGCTTGTTCTCACTTATCAGTAGAAAAACAACATGATGATCTAGGTTGATGAGGGGGGATGGGAAGTATGTTCCCAAGTAACTGCTCTTTGCATTGGGAATGCAAAATATTTTGGTGGCGGAATGAAGATTACACCAAATGCCAACCCCTCAAGCGGGGATTATGAGGTGGAATGATTTCTCTTTCCCTGTCCTTGGTCATCATTTTCAACATCTCTGTTTTCCAAGAACTGTTTAGACGTGACTTACTATGACTAATTACTTTTTGTGCAGGTGGTCATCCTGCAGGACTTCAAGTGGTATGATTTCATTTTCAAAATGCATAAGCTGTACAATGGGACACACTTATCAGTGAAAAATGTATCTTCAAGAAGGTATAGCGCCACTGCTTCAGAAAGAAAAAAACATTTCTCATCTCTTCTTCAAATTTATATTGTGAATTCCAGGTTGCCCATTGCTTACTGTAGTGCAACAGTGCATGTTGCATCACTACAGAAGTCAGTTTATACATAGTTACTGAGTTTTGTTTCAGCTTTTGAGAAAGTATATCTATATGATTCTGTGTTTTAACACAGTCTTGGGGGTTTCCCAGGTCATATACCACAATTTCCATAAGAACCTCCAATAATCACTTTAAGGGGTCTTTGTGTATTCATATTTGAATCACGACTCTCATCTGTGACAGTTACTTTTCCTTCTCTTCGTCTACGTTTCCTTATTAAGCACTTTAATGAAAAGGCTCTTTGTCAAAGTATAAAAGTAGAGGAGTATAAATTTCTCCGGCAATTTTTTATTTGTACATGATTCATTTGACATATGAGACACTAGAAGTGAACTGTTTATAATCTACTTAGCTTGGTTTTTTGTTTATGAGATTCTTCAACAGTTTTATTTGTCTTTGCAGGGCACGTTCAATTGAAGTCGAAGAGATTGGAAGCAATAGCTCAATATATGTTCAGTCTGATGGAGAATTCTTAGGATTCCTTCCTAGGAAGTTTTCTTTACTACCTGGTGTTATTGAACTGATTTGCTAATCTTAAAGAAAAAACTTAATGAAAGGACATGATTTTGGAAATAATTTAGTAAGCAGTTTTAGGACTTCATTTTGGAGGCAAGTTGGTATATTTCATGTGTACTCATAGTTGCAGAAGATTGAACCCACTGGAAATGCTAGATATTTGAACTGGTCTTGTTAGCATTTCATTGTCTACACACAGTTAATTGCTGCAATAATTTGTAGAAATTCAGATTAGTTGTTTGCTTTTTTTTTTTTTTAAATGTTCTTCTAACACGCACTTAGGAGTTGTTTGGTTACCTGAGTTATCACAAATTGTTTTGCTATTAAATTTTGCATCAACAATGAGTTTTTGGGTGGCTTTTTGGTTTCTCTTATTGACAATATCCAAATTTTTTATACGAATTTCTGTACCATTTGTAAATGTGAAAAATGACCATTATATTATCACTTGTTTAGTTAGATATTATCTCTAACATATTTCTAGCAAAGTGTTTGAAATATTTCTTTATTGCAAATTATCATATTTAGTGCAATATTTCTTTATTTATCTCATACTTAAGCATGTCTCATTTTAAATTCACTTAAAATTAGTTCTTTGTATGAGATAATTGAATATTGATATTATAGATTTATTTTGATTATTAATTGTAGTATGCTACTCATTTCAATAACAGAGGAAAACAACAATATTGTTTAAATTGGTAAGGTAGCTAAGTTTATTATGATGATAACAAATGAGAATATTATAATGATTATTATTTTTCGAATTACGATCCATGTATAATTTGACTAAGAATGTAATGCTCGGTGAGTGTCTTGATCAGTACATTTGTATATTCTAACAGAGAAAATTTGAAATGTTAGTATTACAATATAAGCCAAGTTTATATTTTGTTGGGAGTATTACTAATTCTTAAAATAACAAATATTCCATTAATGAAAAAAGAGAAAAACAAAATTTCCTCTTAAGTCAATTCGTTTTTTGCCGCCTCAAATCTTTGCGTGGTCAATATTTAGTGAGGACAGATATTTTACAAGGCAAAACATGGGACAAATAGTTCAATTTCAAATTCCAACTACCTAACTTCTCTGTGTCTTGCTATGGCAACTTTTACTTCTTTTGCTATCAGAATTCCCAATCTTCAGTCCAGCGACCGACGTTCTATTTTCCAGCCAAATGGTAGTCAGAAAATACATAAGCTGTTGCGATGCAATGCTGAAAACTCAACAAGTAACTCATCCAACAGTACTAGCACTAGCAGCCAGGATTCTGAACCCGACAATTTGCTGCTGAAGATGGCTTGGTATGGTTCTGAATTTCTTGGCATTGCTGCATCCTTTTTCCGTTCTCCGACGGATGCTGAAGTTTCTTCTGAGGGAAATTTGGAACTTGAAATTGATGAGTCTGGACTTGTTGATCGTGCCCTTGTGGCTGATACCATTAAAGCTGACTTCCAAAGATCCTACTTTGTTACAGGTAATCTGTTTGAAGACAATTAACTAACATTTTCAAACAATGGATAAGTCAGAATTAATTCGAAATTAGTTGGGATCGGCTATATTGAGGGAGGGAAAAGGTCGAAATTTATACAAAATGATCTAACTTTGCCCTTTGGGGTCAAATATAACCTTGCCGTTAACGAATGAGCTCGTATATCTAGATTCCAAATTCTCATTTCTTGTAGCGTGATACTATTTGTATTTAGTTGGTTTGTTGAGTAGTCCCTCCGTCTCATAATCTCCTCATATTATGTGTTTCTCTTTACACGCCCTTAAGAAATATTAATTAGGAAAGAGATTGGACTATTTTACCCCTATTTATGTATTAAAATATAATCTCTCTTCATTGAATATTTATTCTATTTATGTGTTATTTCTATATTCAATACTCCCTCCGATCCAAAATAAATGATTTTTTAGCTGTTTTCACACAAATTAAGAAATCCATCTTTTAGCATTAATTAGCAATGAAATTGACCATATTAACCTTTTGCTATCTCTTCACATAAATACTCTTAACACACACTCCAAGGGCAATGTAGGAAAAAAATAATTAATTCATTCTTGAAATCTGAAAAAGTCACTTATTTTGGACCATAAAAAAAAGCCAAAAAATCACTTATTTTGGAGCGGAGGGAGTAACAATTATTACTAAGGGTAAAAAAGGAAAAAAACAATTAATTTTGTCTTGGACTTCTAAAATGACAAATAATTTGAGACAACTATTTTTAGTAATCATGACTATTAACGAGGCAGAGGGAGTATTACTAAGGAATAATAGCTTTTGGAGATTTCGGTTGTAGCTATTGGGAAAGAAGAAAATCTTGAAATAAGTTCCGCGCTCTATCTTCTGATAAGAATAAATAAATTAGTGATAATGATATTACTAATTGATCCAAGTTTTCAAGGCGATTACAAATAAGCAGCAAGAAAAGCAGTCAGTAATATACTAAGCCTAATGCTAAAGCAGAAATAATGCTTAACAAGAAGAGCTAAACTGAGCCCTATATATTAAGGTACAATAAGTTGTATCCAAAACTTGACAATTTGCTGTTTATAACTTGAACGATTAAGTATTGACACTTGCAAATCATATTAGCTTAAAAGTGTTATGCTATTCAGGAAACCTGACCCTTAATGCATATGAAGAGAATTGTGAATTTGCGGATCCAGCAGGTTCTTTCAAAGGGCTTAGTCGGTTTAAAAGGAACTGCACTAATTTTGGTTACCTTGTGCAAAGATCAAATATGAAACTCATGAAATGGGAGGACTTTGAGGTTAGTTCACACTTGAATTGGATAGCACTAATACTTTGTTTCTTTTTATAAGATAAAATTCTTGCTTAATTTTGATGTTTACAAAGTGCACGTGTCTCCAAATATAGGAGAAGGCGATTGGTCACTGGCGTTTCAGTTGCGTACTGTCATTTCCTTGGAAGCCCATTCTTTCAGGTTTGTGAAATCGATGCTTCAGACATATAGAGAAAACTTTAATTTTCTTCTTGTTATTACTGAGGTTGTTGTCTGTGCTCTTAACTCTTAATTGTATTCTGTTGCAGCAACTGGTTATACAGAATACTATTTCAATGAGAAATCTGGAAAGGTATGCAGGCATATAGAGCATTGGAATGTCCCAAAGATGGCTCTTCTGAAACAAATCATAAGGCCTAGTAAGGGAATATGGCAGAAAAAGGCCAGTGGTTGAAGTAGTAATAGCTAATGATCCCTGTAAATTACAAGCCTCAAACTGGCTCAAAAACACGACATGAACAAGAAGAATATAGACAGTACCAATCCCCACTAGATTTATACTTTTTAAGGGGAGGAAGGTCTGTTATGAGAATGGTGTCGGAAAAGTATTAAGGATGAGAATCAACACTCCTGGAACATGTGCCCTTGCGCATTAAGGTCAATACAAGTGTTTCAGAAGTAGGGGATAGATTTTTCTTGCAGCATTTCACGACCAATATAAACTTTGGCCTTTAGATAAGAAGTCTCCCTTTGAGTGTTAAGTCTTGCAGTTGGTCATATATATCATCACATATGTTGAATGAACTAGGCTTTAGGTACATATTAAATACAGAGAGTGTGCAAGTATCTGAAATAAATTTGTAGAGTTTTTTATTAAGTGTATTTATATTGTTTAGGCCGGTTCAACAGATTCACACATACAATTATGCTGGCTCATGAGGAATATAGAGAGAATTAGACGCATTCTCCCTTATACTCTGAATGTTGTTATTCTTCTTAGAATAGAAAGAGTTACTATTATATTGTTCGAGTGATAGTACATTGATATTCTTCATTTAACAAAATTTCCTCACTATAAGTTTATATGAAACATATAAGATCTTGCATTCTTTCTTGTATATCCCTCTTTCAAAGTATAAGAAGATTAGGAGCTCACAGCCTCACATGAAGCATTGTGTTAGCTTTTTCTATACATGGCAATATATGTAATCTGGAGCTCCTTTCAATTTCAGACCCAAAAAAGAAAAAGGAAAAAAAAGACTCAATGTGGGGGGGGGGGGGGGGGAGGGGTACGTAACAAATAAGTAGACATAGAATATCACGTA